AAAAAAACAAGGTAGCGAAGGCGGTCCAAGACACAGATCTGGAATTACTGGCGACAATTTAGACGTAGCATGTTGTGTTTCGGAAGCCAATTAATTGTAAACGTCTTACTCAATAACCCCACTCTGGTCCTCAAATTCTCAATGCTGCGTGTGGCCTAACATTGAGCTGCAACACTCCTCCAGCACAACCGAGTAAGACATGACGTACTTTGAGCTGCGAATAGGAAACCCCGTCACGGCTGCAATGCGGGTGGTTTCCTCCTCTTTGAGTGAGATCAATGTAGCTAGCTCATCGTGCGCATTTAACAGCTTCGCCGTGTACTTGGCCAGTTTTTCAAGCTTCCCTTCCATTAGTTCAATCTGCTGAAGCCGGGACTGAAGCAGCTTTTGGCAAAGCTTGGCCTGGTGAGTTTGAAGAGTGTAACGGGGTACGTAACCCTAAGTGTACCCTGGTTACATGAAGTGTGACACTTCACACTTCAGGAGTATGACACGTCATACTCCGGGATATTTGGTACAAGGTACCAAAGTCGTTCAAAGCCAACCATTGGTTAAATGACATTGCATTTCTATAGGTAACTTATAGTTTGTATTAAACCCGAACTTATCCTACCTATAAATATACTCAGTTTACAATCTACCCTATTTGGGTCACTTCGCTCTCTTTAATAAAAGAGGGGACCTGTGAACTGCCGTTCACTGAGAGTTTGTATACTCTCGGAAGATAACTTCCTCTTGCGCAAGGTGCTGTGTGACCCCGTCACACTTGGTAGCACTTGAAGTCAATCCACGCCATCGCGGGTAGACTACCTGAACCTCCGAAGTTCGTTGCCATTGATAGGAACGACTTCTCCCATTTGAACGACTCTCAGCTCGAGTCGGTTCGGAAGATGGCAGGCATCTTCGGGATGGAGGCCCTGCAGAGCCTGGTGGTGTCAACACCGGCTGAGCAGCTCGAGCGCGTCAATGCATTCGACGCGTACGAGCAGGGCCTCATCGCGCATGTGCGGGAGAACCTGCAGGCTCCGACGGCGGAAGCAAATCCGCCTCACCCGAAGCCAATACGGCTGAAGGTAAAGCCGTATGAAGGGAAGGAAGGCGAGAACCTTCACTTCTGGGTCCGAGAAGTAGAGCTCGCGATGGACGCGGCTCTGATCTCGACCGAGCAACTGCGTGTTGCTTTTGCACTCTCCAACCTTAGCGGTCGTGCTAAGAGTTGGGTGTACACTCGGGAAGCAACATCCCCTGGATGTTTCACATCCTGGGCTCAGCTGTGCGAACAGCTCCGAGCCGCTTCCTCCTGGCTAGCTACGAGTACCGCCAGCGTTCGCGCTTCCTCGCGTGTAAACAAGGAAGGCGCGAGCTGCACGAGTATGTGCAAGAGATACGGGAGCTCACGGCGTCCCTAGTGGGAAACCCACTCAATGAACACATCAAGATGACTGTGTTCATGGACGGCCTTCGAGTGGGCCCCGCACGCACTCAGCTGTTCCAGGTGCAGGCAAGCACCCTTGAAGAGGCGATTCAAGTGGCTCTTCAAGAAGAGTACAGCCATCGCCAGGCGCGTACGCCGGCCTCAGCGTGGCCTGGGAGCTCCTTGTCGGCTCCCGGTCGAACAAGCCCCAACGGACCAGTTTCCAATGGAACTCGGGTCCGCCGAAACAGCGTGACATCCGCTGCTTCGGCTGGGGGAAGATGGGCCACTTTCAAGGCGCGACTGTTCCCGCGAAAGGACTCCGCAGACGGTCCTTCCCCAAGCCCGTCCTCAAGGTTTGCTGGCAGAAGCCAGGATCCCGGGGACACGGGAACGCAGGGAACCAGTAGGGGCGGGGCGCCCTACTGGGGAAGAACTAAGTCTTCGTGATGGGTGCGCGGGTGGCGCGTACCACGGGGACTTAGCCCCTGAGAGTCTTCGCACTCTCGAATCGGCAAAGAGCAGCGGCGGGTTGCTCGTAGTACACGGATGTGTACGAGGATACGATCATCCCTTTAGAATCTTGATTGACTCTGGGGCGTCGAAGAATTTCGCACGCCGCCAGACGGTTGCTCGTAACAGCAACAAGTTGTCCGAAGCTTTGAGAGAAAGCAAGGGCAACGGGACGGTGTCAGTGCGACTGGCCGACGGGAAGGTCGTCACTGTCCCCAACGTCCAAGTGGATCTGGCTGTCAAGTTTGAAGACTTTGACAGCCTCGAACAGTTCACTGTTCTCGATATGGATCCATATGATATGATCCTGGGCATGCCCTGGCTTGAGAAGCACGAGCCCTGGATCGACTGGCGAGGCAAGGCAATCGGTGCCAGCCGCCCTCTTTCTGCGAAAACGCCCTCAGTTTTATGGTCCTACGTAGGAGGATGGCCCTTACGGAAGGCCTCCTATCTGATCGGGTGCTTCCGACTAAAATTTAGCCTATCCTTTGACGAAAAAAGACGATGCCAATCAAAGACACATTCGACCATATTCGACAAAACTTCATTAAAATATTAGTATGCATTTAGATGGCCGCTC